ATGGTTCAGAAAAAATTAAATTATATTTAATAATATGTCCCTCTCTTCAGAGTAAGAGCAAAAGATAAAAGCAAATGGGAAAAATATGAAAAAGCAAATGGTAAATCAATAAAGGGTATGTGAAATTCTTAGTAATGTTCTTGCAACTTTTTTATAAGTTTGAAATGGTATCAAAAAGTTACAAAAAATATTTAACTGTAAAGTACAATTTTAATCATTTTTTCATAAATAACATGAAAATATTTTAATATTCAGATTTCTCTTATCTATTGATGGTATTGCTGTTTTGTTTTCCTAATGTTAAAATTTTATTCTAGGTATATTAAATGGGTCCTTTTCTTGTTTTAGTGACAGCATGAACTGTCAAAAGCTTTGAGTTCGAGCATCTTGGGATCAAGAATTAAATCTTATTTGTTTTTGCCCCTCTATTGCCAAATACAGCTTCAGATATATTGTTGGTTCTCATGAATTTTGTTGTTATATTTTTTCCCCCACTTACAGAGAAAACCTCTCGTGTTGGAAGGGATTGATTTGGGGGCATGTACAAGCAAGTGGACAGTGGATTACCTAAGCCAAGTTGGAGGAAAGAAAGAAGTAAAGATTCATGTTGCTGCAGTTGCACAGATGGACTTCATTAGTAAGAACTTTGTATATAGGTATTTTCTTCCGAGGTTTATTCTGGGGATACAAATAACTTTTTAAAAACTTTTAAAATATTTTTGCAGTATTATACAAAGACCATATGGCATCTCATCTTTTGGCTGGTTTGATGTAATCACAGAATAGCTTACTGATTTTTAAAGAGTGGCTTTTAAAAGACAAGAATTCTGAGTTTACATAATTATACAAAGACATTTCCAAAGACAATTTTTTAAGTAGGGTATATATCCAATACCTTCTGGAATCATGGAAGGAAGAGAATATTTCTATAACTAGAGTTAGATTACATGTAAAGTTGGGTGTGCTATATTTACTCAATGCTTAATTAATTGATTGATCCTACCACATTAGTAACTATTATCTAGAGTAGGAAATTCTAAAAGTTCATTTTGTTTTTCTGTCCTCTCCAGAAATACAGGACAAGCTATGTTGGTTAAATCCTTCATCAACTTGGATTAACTTTAGAAAATCATACTTAATTTTCTGTTTTGATAAAATAGTCTTTAATACCTTTAATTTCTCTCATGTTTGTCATTTTATACTATGGAATCTCTCAAAAGTAAATAAGAGATAGTCAAAAGCTGCTGATTGTCCAAAGTTGAAAGCTTTAAGTGCCGTCATCTTACAAATATCATATGCTATTTATTCCCATTAGTTTCATTTGAAAATGTTAAATTAAAAAACAAACAACTTTCAAATGTTGAGCATGTACAGTTCCCAGCAAATTCAGTCTGTTGAAAAACGATGTAGTTCACAAAAGACTTCAATTTAGAGATGAGTTAAACAGAGCTTCTAATGTCCGCGGTCATTCCTTTCTCATTAGAGTTTTCCAAGCTCATGTAGCAGCTGCCAAACCGTTTCTCAGTTTTTGATCCTTTGAATGCTCACCATTATAGTTTTGGTTATTAATAGGCCATGAATTGAATTTAATTGCCATAGTTTTTCCAAGTGTAAGAACTTTTCATTTTTTATTAAGTTAAGAAAGTAGAAGAAAGTGCTGGACTGATGAGTGTTTGTCACTATGCAGTTAATGATGTTTATTTTCCAGAGAGTCCAATGCCATAACAAATGGGTATTGAAACTTCATCTTGAATTGCCTTGATGTTTTGTTTTTTAAACTTTTCAAAACTTGTTTTTGAAGCACATACATTATGTAATAGTTCCTATCCCAGCTTCCGCCAAGCCTTTCACTAGAGCTACTAAAAAGTTGCAAGATTATTTTTTTTAGTGCAAGAAAAAAATAGGTTTAGTCATTTTTAGCATTTACCAGGCAGCAGGAAAGAAGGGAGACATCCAGGCCAAAGAGAGACTAGAAAGTAAGAAATCCTACACACACATATATGATTATCACTTCAGTTTGGGTTGCTTTTCTGCCTTTTCAAACATTGGAAGATTGATATATTAACAAGTATTAACTTTTACTTCTTTCTTCTTGGTAGCTTTCATTGTTCCTTTCAGAGTCAGTATAGTCCAGACAAGAGAACCTGGTGTGACGAAAGGATATTGTTGGTATTCTGATCATTGATTTAACAACAACAAAAAAGATACTCTGAATCCTATGTAAACTTTGCTGTATCTACCTATCGTATTATGTAATTCCTGTCATCATCTTACTCTTATTGTGTATTATACTTTCATCAGTCCTGATCTTGATTTTATAAAGCAGCATTTCCAAAATGGGGAACAGGACAGTGAACATTTTTTAATATTGATGATTACTTGCTTGCTTCTGAGGGGTATATTATCATTCTTGTTAACCCCACCATCTGTTCTTTACTGAGTACTAACTATATATCAGGTACTGTGCCAAGCATTCTAGGTTATATTGCTCATTTAAACTTCAGAAAAATCTGTGAGATATTTTTTATAATAATTTTACAGATGGGAAAACAGAAGTTTAAAAATATTAAGTAACTTATCCAAGATCATATATCTTAAAATGATGGAACCCAGGAAATGTAGTCAAATTTGCCTGACTCCACCAAGCCCATGATTAAGCCCTCCTTGATACTACCTCCCTTTCTGGTCTGTATGCCAGTCCAGACAAATGGCACTTTAATAGCAGATGCTC